GCCTTTCTGGAAAATTTGGACATATAATTGTGCTATTTTAAAACTATTGCAGTATTTCATCTTGAACTCTATAACCATGTGTGGAGCTAAGGGAAGGATTATTGGGGAAAATGGAAATGGATGATCCTATAGAAAGAATGTTACAACATTTTAGTTATAAGAATAAAGAATATGTATAAAATGTTGTTGTATTCCTAATCATTCATAGCCTAAACTATTTTTATATTTGTAGTTTGAGTAATTTGATTAATTTGACTGACATTAATTTGACTGACTAGAATGGATTCTAGGCATTTGCTAAAGCCATATATGAATAGTAATCACACACACACACACACACAATCTGGTGTCAGTAATATCATGTTCATATATGTGTGTGTGTGTGTGTGTGTACTTTGTGTGGATTGTCATCTGTTAGGTCATTTCTTTTGCATTGACCCAAATAACCTTGCTGAGAAATATGTTAATCAAAAGACTGAGACTGACAGGAGTCAAGTGCCTTGCAAAATCTGCTGAGCTTATTAATACCAGACATATAAAAGACCAACTTCAGGTATTCCCTACTTGAGTTTTCTTTCTTGATTTCTCAAGTGGAAAAAAAAAATAACACATTCGAGAATAACATTTTCCATTATACCAGATTTGAATCTACAAAACCATCAGTGTTATGATGCTTATTTTTCATTTTTAGGGACAAGTTATTTTCCTCTTGAGTAGTTGTTTGTTTTTCTTTTTTTATGTGTATTCTGAAAATAGGAAGAGATTGCCATGAAAAGTTAGTGTCAATTGAGGCCAGTTTCAGAACAAGATAAGTGAGAATAGAGATAGAGAAGAGATGGAGATGTGAAATAATTAAGGATTTTTACCAGAAATAATTGGGCTATTGAGATTTAAAAATACATCTAAAGATATGTTATCTCTTTGGATACATGTAATTGCTGTGCTTTGTCTTAAACTTTATAACAGTAAAATCAGTCAGTACCACATTGTAAGCTGTGATCTTTGTGCAGGTGTGTGCACTTGGAATTTAAAGGCCAGTGCATAAGAGCACCCCATTCGTTACTGGTAGCCTTCTCAGTGACAGGTGTGTTTGCGTACATTCTGGATGTATCTATTGAAAGTTAGCTGTGCTTTTTAGTCAGGTTACCTATTTCATTTACCTTATTTTGGTCTTTCTAAATCTTTTCTAAATGTTACCTATTGTAAAATTACTTACCTCTGAATATTTTGTTACACTAACACTTTAACATTCTAATATCTTATAACCCATGTTATTTTAAAGTGTTAAGCATCCAGAGTATGTGATTAGAATTAAATACAAAAATACACGTTAAGGAGAGTGTTAATTTATTTTGTTCTCAAAGCTTATTAACTGAAGACAGTGATTTTTTAAAATCTATTTTGAGTATCTGGTGTCAGTAATATCATGTTCATAGCACACCTCATTAAGTAAAGTAATTTAACAAAAAGCTATGGCCGAATGAATGCTGATAACTTATAAAAGCACAAATAAGATTGATTTCTATGAATAAGTGTTTATGTTTAGATTCCAAGTAATTATTAATTTTCACATTTTCACTAGAAATAGAGAATATCATCAAATTTTGCTTAACCTTCCAATCTTCAAAAGTATTATGTAACTTTAAAGTTAAAAAAATAAGCATTAATACCTAGCTTTACCCCAAATTTTCAGTATTTCCTTTTCACCTCTGGAGCTCTTTTTCTAACCCCTTACATGCTTATCTGTTTTTTTTTTTTTTTTTGTCTTTATTTAGTTACTCCAATTAGACTATAAGCTTCAGGAGGGCAGACATTTCCATTTGTTTTATACTAGTTTGTGCTCAGCAATACAAGGATCAGAAACAGTCACATTCTGTAATCATGATGGAGAGTGAGGTAGGTTTTGTCAGTTTGGGGATCAAAAAAATATGGAAATTTTAATAAAAGCCAGTCATTTTGCAGTAAGAGCTCTAGCTTACTTTATTTTTGTAATTACCGAAGTAACATTGGCTTATAACACTGTATATGATTGTATTATAATATTAACATGTCCTCAGATGAATGTCATTACACCCCACCCACAAAAGAACACACACCCAGGAATGCCCATTTCTCTTTATCATAAAAGTTCTCCAGTTTCTTTAATGTGGGATTACTTATACTAAGTTTGTAATAAGTATCAATGTAGTAGTTATGAATCACTTAGAAAATGCTTGCCACATGATCTCACCATATTGTTACCAGCAATAATCATTATTGTTGGTTAACCTTCCCTCCACCTTAAACTCCTTGTTTAGTTATTTGCCTGAATTATGTTCAATTAAAACTTATATTTTAAAATTATACAACCTAGTTATATGACTCATTAATAAAAACTGTTTACCATGTTTTACCTTGAGAAGTTTCCTTCTACTTCCACCTCTTTCATACACTTTCGTACCTTCGCATCTACTGTGTTAATTTGAATTTCTCAACAATTCTCAACAGGTCTATGTACAAATAGAATCCAAGGGCTTATTTTACTAGTAATGTTATTAATGATTTTTTTTCTTTTTTACTATAATAATTATTTTTTACATCATTTTGTGCCTTTTTCCATCTTAGTTATAATCCCTGTGGGCTTCCCATCACCAAATCACCCATGTGCCATCACCATAGTGTTATTAATGATTTTTAATGGAGATATTTTATATTTATCTCATACATTTGAGACAGTATCCTTTCTAAAGTTTTGTTTTGCTCAACTAAGGGTACAATAGTGACTACAGTATGCTACTGAGGAGGCAACAAGGCCCCCCAGGCTGACTTGGATAAGTTCCAACAGTGCATTTACAAGGTGTGAAGTCAGGGTCTCTCTGGTGGTGCAACAACGAGTTAAAGGGTTAAAGCTCAGCACTATGAAGCTCTCCTTGGCCACTGCAGCATCATTTTGATCCCCCACCCCAACCCTCACCTGGAAGCTGACCTACATGGCATGGCAGACCTCTCCTGCCAAGCCCACTGCTCCTCTCAGCAGTGTTTTTCAGTAATCTGCCTGTTCTGTTACCCATTCTGTCTCTGGTGACTCCTCTCACCCTACACATCTCTGGCCTGTACCCCAGTTCTTATATGCATAAATACATCTTAAAGAAAACAAACAAACAAACAAACAAACAAACAAGATGTGAAGTCAGTGTCTCTAAGCTATGTTTTACCATGACAAATAGTAACATTTACCTCTTAGAGACTAAGGGAAATGTGGTAACATGAGTCTTGATACTTAGAATGCCCTTCAATAAAAACGGCTCAAACAGATTAAAAGAGAGCATGCCCCTCATCATTAAAGACCCCAAAGGATTTTTCTCTGCAATGCAACAGGTGACTTTCAGGATTTGCCTTACTCTTCTTCCTGCTACTAAAACAATAATAAAGATTACCTTGCAGGAGATTCTGACTGGAGGTGAGTGGAGTATTATAATGGTGGACAGAGATTATAGCCAAAGGAATTCCAACAACTAGTTAGTATTTACTAGCTGTATCCAAAGGAATGACCCGAAGAATGGCTTTTGTATTTGTTTGAATGAGTAGGCCAGAAAATAAGTTTGAATATGCAAGAATTCATTGATTTGCACATCCTTTCCTGGAGTACAGGATGTATTACTATAATAAGTCAGGAATGTGACTCATTCATATTGAGTGGTTATTGGAAGGCTGCAGAAGGTTATGACCCACAACACCAAGCAAAACAGAACTTCAGGAGTTTACCTGGTAGGCAGTAGAGTGGAGTACAAAGCAGCTCAGAGAATTGCCATGTGGAAATAGGTATATAATGTAGTACCAGAAGACCCTATTGTCCAGGACATCCTGTCTAAAACCAGAATGATGAGGTAACTGGCATTTATTTCCTGCTCTTCAATAGGACACATGATTTTTACTTATTTGTTTTAATTCTAACTTTTCTCACCTGAATCTCCAGTCAACAAAGGTCCACATTTTTCACCATAGAACCAAGTAAAAAATATACCTGCTTGCATGATTAAATGGCTTTTACTGCTTTCAAACATACATCTTAAACTAATTTAAACAACATAATGTTTTTCAGGCAGCTTTGCAATCCTTACTTTGGCTTATCTTTGCCTAATAGCATTTTACCCTTATATAACAGAAGACTAAATATTGATATTCTTTAAGTTTCTCATTTTGTGGCTAACAGAAAAAAACAAAACAAAACATGACTCCAGACTCTCACATTCTTTTAACAGAGACATGCTTTAGGAAGAAATGGCTTTTTTTTTTTTTTTTTTTTTAGGGAGAACACACATCCTTTTAAAAAAACCAAAATCCTGGAGTGACTGCAAAGAGTATATGAAGGCTTTTTGGCAAATATGTTTTGGGTGTTAGGTCTACATTTGTTTTAAAGAGCTTTATTTGTTCTGGGCCTGACTGATCAATAATAATATTGAGAAGCTAGGATGTTATACAGCTGAATTTAAAGTGCAAAGTATCTAATCTGTGAATAAAGATAAATGTGTTTGAAAATAATGATAAAGGGAGTAGTGGAAACTACTTCTCTGGAAAATCTTATCTAATAAATTTCAAGTTTCCTTGTAAGATTCCACATTATTTTTACTTACTGTCAATGGAGATACATTTTTGCAGATCTTACTTTGTCAAATATAATCTTGTAATGGCTCCATATCACTACACCTGAGCTAATGGTTTCTCTCAGACAGTACTTTCAACCATTTACAGGGCTGTAGGTCAATACACATTTAAAAATGCTCAGTAGGAAATTTTAAAAGGAATTCCTATTAACTCAAAGGGCTAGCAGAGTATGTCCTAAAATAATGGTCTATAAAATGACATGGTGACTGAAAAGTTCTGTTATTTTTACTTTCTTAACCCTATCTCTTGATTTAATTGCTTGGTTTTATATTGAGCTAATAAGAAATCAGAGTAGTCAAAAGAAATTTAGATATGTACATGTTTTAAACATTTGTTTATTTAAATTTTTTTTTTTATTTGTTTGGTTTATAGGGCCTGGTAGTTGGAGACAATATTTTCACCAAAGTTGACTTCAGGAGTGAGCCAGTGAACCTTTTTTTGTAGATAGAACAAAAACAGGTGAATGACTGTTTTTTTGTTGTTGTTGTTGTTGTTGTTATTGTTGAAGATCCTCAGTTCAGCCTCTGGAGGCTCATTTTCTCTGGTGAATAGGATTGTCTTTGAAGGAAAATATACCTGCAAACAAACAGAAGGTACATGAGTAAAATAGGCTTCTTGGGATATTATCCACATGCCATAAAGCATGTGTATGAGAACAGTGTACTGTATGCTTAAAGAGTAGAATAAATTTTGAAATGACTCCTGAATTGAGGGTAAGTAGATGTACTAATGGAGTAGTTTTCTATCTTAGGTGTCTTCAATCTCTGAAACTCCACATTTACAATGTGGAGAAATGAGAGAGAAATGGAAAAAGATTTAAACAGAGGAGAAAGTAAAAGTTGGTTCCCAGAAGGAAAGTATTAGTGTCCACTTGTATGCTCATTTCTTTTGCTGATGTGGTTTTTAATATTACAAAAATATTCTGGAACAAAATAGGAATGACTGGCTTTGTTAAAAGATGGGCACCAAAAATGTGAGTATGGCCAACAGAAATTTGTTAGTTAAAACAAATGTTCATGGCCCTCCCTGGTGGCATAGCGGGTTAAAGCACAGCACTAAGAAGCTAGGCCACTTCAGCATGAGTTCTAACGCCACCCACCCCAGAGGTGATCCACATGGTGCAGCAGACCTCTCCTGACCCGCCCGCTGCTCCCCTCAGCAGTGTAATTCGTAGATCTGCCTGTTCTGATCCCCACTCTGTCTCTGGTGAATCTTCTCACCCTCCGCATCTCTGGCCTGTACCCCAGTTCTGTATGAATAAATAAATAAATCTTTAAAAAAATAAATGTTCACATTCCAGTAATTGATCAATATTATTTATGGTGAATCATCTTTAAAAGAGGATCTTTTATATGGCACTTACCGTAGTTCCAGTATGGGAATTAAACCAGTTTTAAAATAATTGTGTTAAATATTATGGAGAAAAGGAAGAAGAAAATACTTCATGGGCGTTTATGATATTTAAAACATTGTTTTGGGCCCTCCCTGGTGATGCAGTGGGTTAAAGCATGGCACTAAGAAGCTAAAGCCACTTCAGCATGAGTTTGATCCCTGTCCAGGAGCTGACCCGCATGGCACAGCAGACCTCTCCTGCCTTTGTTTATAGTTTATATTTGTTTATATTTAGTTTACTTTTTATTGGTTCATTTTGTTTACTGTTCTGGATTTAGTCTCTCTGAAGATGGTAAATTTTGATCTCCCTGCTGGTGGAAGCTATTTTCTGACAGGGAGTAATATTTCTCAGGGGCAGATTGTCTCAAATTTATCACTGTCACAAGAAAATGAACAAAGCAGAGATCTTCATGATCTCAGTTCACCATAATCTTCTCCATATATGAAGGTAACATGTGATTGCATAAATATAAATAAAAACCAATATTCTCCTTCCTTAAATGGTCTAATTTATCGATGAGTTCTCCTTTTTGAAGTAGTCATGATTTAAGGTAAACAAAAATGAACTGAGTAAAAGCCTACTTAGAACAAAATGAATTACCCTTTGATATCCAGTGCAGCAACCTACTATTTGAGAAAAAAAGAACTTCACAAAAAGCTTAATATATTCAGGATTTGACAAAGTGTGACCCATTTATTGAAGCAGAAAATGCACCACAGGTTTCTCAGTGCTTCAGTGCTGCCTTTTTTTTTTCCTTCCCAAAGCAGATAAATCATATTTACCAGCCAAAGAAAAGAATTGCTTCTTGAATTACTTAGTTCAGGAAAAATTGGGAGAAGAGATGTGGATCGACAGGTATTTTGACTCAGAAAGATATTTCCAAGAGAAGATTTGCTGGGTCTTAAAGATTTCATAGGGGTGTCAAAATCTGGAAACTCTTTGATGAAATTATATAAAGAAAAGTGGGAGTAACTATTGATTCCTTCAAGCCTGTTAGAGACTGTGTGGACATTTAAGTTTATAAGCCAAATATTCACATGTAATTTTTTAATAGGAAACTTCTAAGATTATTGTTAGGATCTTAAATACATGAGAAAATGAATAAATATCACAATACAAAAAATTCTCTTCTCCAGTGTTAATCTGTGATAGCACATTTTCTATAGTTCTGAACAGACCAGTTGAATTGTCACCTTTTATCCCTAATCCCTGTAACTGCACTTAATACATACTTGTTGCACCAAGGTTTGCCAAGAGTAAGAATGAGGAAATAAAATGAACACATAGGTAATCCTTTTTAAAAGCATATATATCAATGTGTATATTGAAGATTTTTATATTAATAAGTTGTTTGAAATATTATCACTGTTTTCATAAAATAACTCATTCATAGCACTTAACAGTTTTATAAACACCGAAAGTCATGTAATTGTAATCACTATTATTTTAAACATTCCACATGCTGTCAATAATTTAGGAAAATTACTGAGAGACTTCTTAGGCACATTTTTAGATTCTTGAATTTTTATGGTATTTAGATGCATGTTTTAAGCCAAAATCAGAAGTGGTACAGAGTTTTTTAAATAATCTAGGTTTTTAAGAAAATGCAGTTGAAGAAAATAAAATGTAATTTAAAGTTATTTTACTTAGTTCAACTAAATAAAAAAATATAGGCTAAGTTAGTTCTTTTATTCATTTACAATCATTTCCTGATGGAACAGAGCAGATGTAGCTAGAATGTGTTGTATTCACGTACTACAGATTAAATTAAGAAAAAAAAAATTGGCAATGGCTTTTGGGACCCTAGAAAACCTCTTCCAGTCTGAAGCCACAAGGGCAGAAATGATCAATAATAGTAGCCATTTGGTTCATTCATTTCTTTTAATGAACACACTCACAACTCACTAAAAGCATTTTTGCAGGATGGGGATGGATTTCAATTCTCTGGTGACTACAGAAATAGTCTGATAAAACCTCTTTTCCTTTCGTCTTTGTAACCTGGTGCTGTGTAGCTCAGAAAACTATGTCTTTTGGTACAGATTGACAAACAACTATTAGCAAAATTCTCCCCATTATTTTTAATGCAGTTTATTTTAGGAAAACCTCCCCAAACTGTGGATCAGTTTCAAATATTTAAAGTCTGGTAAATGTAAAAATAAAGGCATGAAGAAAAAATGGGCACTGAGCTGGTTAATCATTTCATTAATATTCAATAGTATCATTTCCATTTCTGTAGTCACTGCTCTAGTTCAAGTAAGCATTAATTTGTATCTAATAAAGTGCCATTAATTCTGTGAATTCTTATAAATTGCTTTTGATAAATGAACAACATCTGGATTATTACAACAGCCTCTTAACTTATTCAAGTTTCTCCTAATTATTATCTATTTTGTACCTAACTGCCAGAAAAAAAAAAAAACAACTTGAATTTCCAGCATATTTAATTCCCTGGAAATGAAAGTAAGGTTTCCTTACTTAACAAAATTGAAATTTGTATCTGAGATTAACTTTTTCCATCCATTTTTTCTAGATTCTCATTTTTTTTAGAATGCAGTCAGTCTTATTACATCACCGCATCTGTATTTTTCAAAAAAGTACATTTTAACTTTATCTCTAAAAAACATGTAAGTTTAAGAATTCCAAAGTCAGCCTATTAGCCTATTGAAAAACAAAAATAGAAAATCTCTGTGATTTCAGAAAATCCCCCTAGCATTTCAGGCAGGGATGTCATGAGCAAGAACAGAGAATATGGAGTGAAGGGTAAGTGAGGACAGCTGGTCTCTTCGACAGTTGCTCCTTTTCTATTTTACTGTATCTTCTTTGTGTGAGAGCTTTTAATGATTAGAGATAGTAAATTTTTTCAGAGCATATAAATAGTATAGTTACTGATTAAGAGTAAATTATACATTTTAACCCTTTAGAAAGGGTCTTCAGAGTATTATATTTGCATTTGTATTTTATTTGCAGATGGCATGAGCTTAATGGTATCCCATTCTGACATTTCATGTTTCAAATGGGAAGATGAAGATAAGATTACACTGATACTTCCACAAGGCATGAGAGAGGAGACTGTCAGAGGTATGCTTGTGTGGTCAAAACCTTAATGTGGGTAAATATTACATTTAGAGCTTTTCATCCAGCAGAAAAATGATGACAATTATAATCGAACACACAATAGGATTCTTTAAACACTTAGATTCATAGTTTCTGTGTCACTGTGGAGTTATTTTTGCGAATAATATATTTTTCCTCACAACTCTGCAACATCACTTACAAATTTCTACATCATGGGGCCCCAGGGACTCTGCCCAAGAGTGCTATCAATAAATGTCAACTCTATTATGAAAAACATAAGATCAAAAAAGGAAAACTCTACTGTTTTTCTTCTCTCATGTTGGGAAATACCTCTTCCACTAATACATTTTCCAATTTCTACCAAATTATGTCCTTAACTGAGTCTCAAACCTAAATAGATGTTTTTGTTTACTCAAATCATTATATCCAGGATTGCCATATTAAATTTCTAAAATGATGCTTTATTCATTTTAGTTATGAGTTCAAATAGCATCCCTACAAATGAAAAACAAATCAATATATTTTATTTTAGTTTTTTTAAGATTTATTTATTTATGCATTACAGAACTGGGGTACAGGCTACAGGTGCAGGGGTGGAGAGAGGATTCACCGGAGACAGTGGGGAGCAGAACAGGCAGACTGATGAAAAACACTGCTGAGGGGAGCAGCGGGCTGGTCAGGAGAGGTCTGCCGCGCCATGTGGGTCACTTCCGGGGCAGGCAGGGATCAAACTCTTGCGGAAGTGGCTTTAGCTTCTTAGTGCTGTGATTTACCCCACTGCACCACCAGGGAGGGACTCTATTTTATTTTTAAAGAGCTCCATAATTTGGTTCCCTTTTTACTTTACAAATTTTGATCACCTTTCAGAAATGGGACACCACGTGACACTTGAACATACTTATGTTATTAAGGTGGCTTCCTTTCTCCTGTTCAGAAACTTTATTCTGCAGTGCTCTCCCTTACTTGACCTACTCATATCTGCATCTTGCCCTTCTATGGACTTTCCTTGATTTCCCCAATTAGATCTTACTTCACATACAAAACACACATAGGATTTCCCATCCAATCTTATGATTCAAAACTGTAGGTTATTTCCTCTTTAGCCCCTAGGTGATATTTGGCAACATCTGAAGATAATTTCCCCACAACAGGGGAAATTACCACTAATTTGAAAGAACATTCCTATGTTCATTGTATACTATCTACAATAGCCAAACTATGGAAACAATCTAAATGCCCCAAAGTAGACCAGGGAATCCCAAAGAGGTAGTTTATGTACGTAATAGATATTACTCAGTAATATCTATACCATTTATGACAAAATGGATGGAGCTGGAAGGGGTTATGCTAATAAATTAAGTCAGACGGAGAAAGACAAATACTAGAAGGTGTCAGTTTAATGTGTCATATAGAGGAACTAGGCAAGGGTCAGATAAAGCCATATTCAAAAACTAGCTTTTGAAAGCAAACTGTAGAACTGAGACATTTTTGGGGGTGGGTAGAGGTGAGCATGATGAACTATGGTGATGGACTACGGGTGCATTGGTGGCAGGAGTGTTATGAAAACAGACCTGGAAGCGTGGCAAGGAGTCTATGCTTCCAAAATACAAACAAGAATGTAAGCAACAATGAAAACAATTACCTCAACAAAACTACACAATTAAAAGATATATTAAGATTTATATGGTTTGGAATACCTGGCTCACCATTATTAAAGAATAAGCACAGCAGAAGAAAATACTTACCAGTAAGTGACATTTTAAATGACTTTGATGATTAGGGTTCCTTTAAAGCAATGAGCATTATTCTGATAAAGAAAAAAAATGTATAGGTAATTATACATTTATTATTCACGAGCAAAGAAAAAGCAGACATATTGCAAAGTTCACTTCTTTTCATAGTAGATGAAAAGTGTTGAGTCTAAAGTTTGCAGGGCTAATATGTCTGTTTTTTAATAGTCATCTTCTATCTTTCCTATGGTAGATTTGATGAGTTGTTGTTATACCATGTCACAAACAATTTATTCTTGCTTTCTGAAGGTTTCTCAGCTGCTTGGTCTGTTGCTGGTTAAATCAGCTCCAAATTGTTTGCATTTCTTTAAGTGGAACATCTAGCTGTTGGGCAAAATAAAGCATTAAATTATGTTGCAAACTTGCTACAAATATTTGAAAATTATTGGTATTGGAAAACAGCTTTTTAAAAGTTTTTTTATGAAGTGAGTTGATGAACTTTGCTTACTAACTGGATATCTAGGTTCACATATGTGCAATAGACACCATTAAGTGAAAGAGTGAACAGGGCTAGTGGCTCTTGCTTGAGAGGGGTAGTTCAGACTCTAAGTATTTAGCCTACCATTGAGGACCCTCCCAAAGCTGCTTCTGTCAATCTCTCACAAATGTTCTGCTTCACCTCAATTATTTCACTTCTATTTCCTTGACTACAGTCCTTACTTAAATCTAGGGTTTAGGCTGCTCCCCCAACCCCCAAGTTTTCAAACACAGAATGTACTTTTTGCGCCTCTTAAAAATCAACTGCCTCTCCTTACTGGTTACAATAAACCATACACCTCAAATGCCAAGTTTTCCAAAAAGAGGACTTTCATTCTTTAACCATTCCCCTCACTCTCAACATATTACATCTTATACCACTTAATTAGCTTTTACCATATAGTTGTCACTATACTTGTGAATTATTATTTTTTCTTTTTCCGCAAATTGTAAACTTGTAGTGGTAGACATATTTGAATCACACCCAGCACGCATACATTGTTCTGCACATAGTGATTGTTAATTGTATTGTAGTTGAGTAAATGTTCAATGAATTATGGCTTTCCTTTAGAAATCAATGTAGCAACCTGGTTATAAAATATGAAATGAAATGTGATTTTTCCCAATAATAAATGTCAAGAAGAAAATAAGGGAGAACTGTTACAGATGTAAGAACTAAAAGTGATGTGTGGGTCTCATTTGAACACTGACTTAAACTGTAAAGGAATTATCTTTAACATAATTAGTGATATATGTAAATGAAATAATAGATTATGTGAGGGATCTATAGTCAGAAAAACATACTTATGTCAAAAATAGTGCTTATCAGTAATAAATACTGAATTTTTGACAAATGATATATTTGTAATTTAAATAAAAGTATGTGGGATAATGGTTGGTAACACTTGACAAAATATTGATAATTATTGAAATTGAGTGAAGAACAAGGTGCCTTAAGAAAATAATCTCAGTCATTACTATAGTAGAAGAATAATCTTTCAGTCATTTATTAACTACATGAGACTCTATTGACTTGAGTACATTTTCATTTTATTGTATTTAACGTAACATAACCATTTTAATGTAGAAACATATTAGTTTCACACTGTCTGACTACCTTATAGGTACCAAAGACTGGGATTTTATAAGTGTGGCTTTTTATCCATTTGCAAAGAATCTATTTTTATTATTCACAACTGTCTGATTTGAAGGAGATTAGAGTCACTATAATGGCCAGTCACTGACTCAAAATGGCAGTCTTTTATTCTGAGAATAACCAACAGCCATGTAAACAGTAAGACTAATTTTTTTCTTGTTAGATGAACTGGATTCACTCATCCTCAATATCATTGAAAAGAGGTGATGTGAAGAAAGTTTTCATTTAATAGACATGCCACAGAGCGGCTAAGTTGATGTACAAATTATGGACATGACAAAAGAGCATATGCTGAAGAAAGATGTTAGTTGAATGCAGATGAGTTGGTGCTTTGAATATCAGACTTTGCTATTGTCAGTTTTTCTCTTAGTCATTCCTGTCTTTTCACCAAAGTTGCCTCTTTCCTAGAAAAGTGCATCTTTATGACTGCTTCAGTTGATGGTTCAAACTGTACCCTTAGTATGCCCAAATCCATCTTCCAAAAGAATGAAGTGTGTTTTAATCTTATACTCGATATGCAAAGATAGTCTTCAAAGAAATCTTCTGCCCTCTCAGTTTCCAGCTACCTTTATGTCCTTCCTTCCACACCTCCATTTTTCTATGGAGTACTTCAACAGCTTTCCATTTGGTCTTTTTGCTTCTAGTCTGTTCTCTTCCCATCATACATTAACAGGTGGTTCTTAAAATATGACACTTATCAAACCTTCTCATATTCAAAAGCTTTCAATGGCTCACTGTTACTTCCAGAGTCCATTTTTATTCAATCAATGTTCCAGGCCTCATAAATCTGTCTGGAGTCTACATTCTAATTGTGACTTATTTTAAGCACATGAAACTGCAAACCAATGAAACTAATTAGAATTTCCTGAAACTACCCTAAACTTTCAGGTCTCTCTTCTCTGCTTATAGTGTTCCTATTATATATGATAGTTCTTTCAATACATTTCTATTTGAGACACCTCTAATTTAATTCTTTGATTATTCTTTAGCATAAGCTGTTTCCTAGAACTTGTCAGAGTCAGCCCTTTTCTATAAGGCTAGATAGCACTTCATGTGTATCTTTCTTAGGATATTTTCTCTTACTTCCTCTCCACATAGAATGAGCTGTTTTCCTTCAATCAAACACTATTTTGAGAACACAATTTACCTTATTTCATTTTTATGTCCCTAGTTTCTTGCACAGTGGTCATGCTTGGTAACTAGTGGTCAATATGTTTAGTAACTATTGATTAAAGGATGGGTTGAAGGAACACTCCATGCTTTATGCAAAGACAGAAAATGCAAGCACTGCTTTCACAAATTTTAGATATTATATTTAAATTCTAGCTGTCAAATATATCACTACTATTAATTGGGTTTATGCCAGGCATTAATTTCATTCTTTTCACTGTCATATTTAATTCTCTCAATTCAGTAACTTACTAGATGAGTAACTTAGGTGAGACTTAGAGTAAGTAACTTGTCTGTATATGGCTCTGATTAAAATCCAGGTCTGCTTTAAGTAAAACCTAGTTTGTTTTATAAATATTACTTTCCTCTTATTAAATGTGTTTGGAAATTTTCAATTTAAGAGACATAACCTATTGGATTTTTCAAGAAGTTAAAAAACTTAAACAGATGACATCCTCTTCTTTAACAATAGCAACTTTTCTTGATTTTTATTTGCAGTATTTTAGTTTTTATTTTTACCTGCAAGGTGGGATACTCACTTTCTTATATTTATCATATTCATTATTTCCTTTATTACATAGTTTCTTACATGGAAGGATCTCACCTATTAATTTTACTTGAAGAAATTTAAATATAAAACCCACCTCTTACATAACAACTTGCATTTACTTCCCTAAATTAGGCACGGCACATGAGCATATACACATAGAATGTGACTAAGTTCTAACCCATGTTCTAATCTACTTTTTGTATTTTTCTCAGAACCAATTTCTGAGTTTTGTAAGAAAATCAATTTTATTATCATATAGTCTCAATTTCATCTTGATCCAAATAGTTTTGATTCTTTCAAAAATTCTTCAACATTTAAATCATCATGGAGTTACTTAAAGTGTAGTTATTTAAAAAACAAATTTATTGATGTGTAGCTTCCAATGTGGCGACTAAGTAGAGAAAGTGTGTATTTGTGTGTGGATGTGTAATTTGACATATAAATGTTTTTAAATTCGTATTTCCCTAGTTTCCATTTACATCATAACTACTAAGTTACTTTTATATAACAGAAATTTCCAGATTTGAAAAAATTCTTCTGAGAATGGGAGAATAAATGTTTTCATGAAGGAAATATGCTATTTGAGTAGTCCATATGGCCTTGGCACAAGCAGAAAGATAAACTATGATATTCCAGTTTAGTATTTTCCAAGGCATTTCTGGAATGCTATTCCCGCAAGATGTTATTGTGTGTGGCATGGCTAGAGGGAAGGTTGGTGCTCAAATTGTTGACAAAATTATTTCCTTTTGTAGACTTAAGGAGCATTAAAGGTTCAAAAATATCTGCCTCCCACAGGGATCTCCTTTATGTTCCCAATTCATCTGATGAGGGGATCTCCTTTATTTTCCTATTAAAATTTTTGACTACACCCTTCATTTCCAGTGTACATAGAATGATGCTGTTTACGTTGGTGATTGAGATGATTTTAGCATCCCACATATGCCTTTCAATAAAAACACACATTTTGTGTCTTGAACAATTTTTTTTTTGTATTTTTACTCAATTTACTGTTACAAGTTGTCTGATTATGGAAATGCATTTAATCCCTTCATAAAGTCGTTGAGAAAATCCAGTGAGTTGTCTATGGAAGGTGCTTAATGGGGAAATGTCCAGTCACTCGGTGCTGGGTGATCTTGAGCAATAAATTCTTGTAGCCCAGCTGGGAAACATGAATATTTCCACACTGTGGAAATCTTTTCTTTCACTAGTCTTCACTTACAGGAATATTATGTAAATGAGCACACAGTGCAAACAGAGGTATTTTTTCCCAGGTGAACACTAAATAAGTTCCCATGACACCAAGCACCTTCAAACTGAATTTGAGCTCTTCCAGATTCAGTTGAGGAGGCGGATGCCTACAGGGCCAGATACACACAGTATGTGTCTGTGCCTCAGAGGATAACTAAACTACTTGTTTTCTCTTGTGTTGCTTTTTTATGGGTAAAAAAAAAAAATACACAAACTCCTTCCAAAGGACTATTCAAATAACACATTTTCTTCATGGAAACTTCTCTGTTTTTCTCATTTTCAGAAGTTAGATTTCTTTTCAATGCTGGATCATGTGTTACATAAGAAAACAAAAACAAAAAAATTACATAGGCATTATGCCGGTGTGCAAAACGGATTGCATTTGGGAACCATAGAGCTATGTCTCAATACATATTTTTGTCCATTACTAAGAATAGAGTTAAAGAATTGTGAAGACTCTGGCTGTTATAATTTGGTTTTTGCAAATGTTCAACAAAAGTCTCTGAGGTTCCCTGGCAACCATAAGAACATCCTCACCTTCCAGAAAAACACGCTTCATTTACCTATGCAACCAGAATGATTTATTAGGTATTAGGATTCTTTTTGTATCTAACTTTTATCAGAAAAAAAAAAGTAGAAAATTAGTAACCATGGTACACATTTAAATATGCAACCTGTATATTGCCTTTATAACCTTTGCTGTTATGGATCTAAAGATAAAATAACAGAAATGATTCTGAAAGAATTCTGTAAATGGTACATCATTATGAAAACATGCTTACTAATAGCAACATTAACAAATTAGTATGTAGGGATTTTTATGGTTAAGTCTATAATTTTACTTGTTTATATCTCAAAGGAGGGCCCAACTTCAGTGAATATTTTCATAAACAAGTATCAATAAGTCAATAAAGCATAATGTTTATGTAAGTGAATATGTAATTATCTACAGTTACATATAATTGTAGATAATTACATAACACATACAGAATTTTAAACATTTGTTAACCATTTCTCCTTCCTGTTAGAATGAATTCAGCTTAGTTATTAGCTGTGACACAGCTTTTAAACAATCACCTGTGACACATCAAATTTATAAATAATTGTGCTTCTAATAACCAATAGAAAAATGCTAGTTATCTTTTGTACTGAAAGCTTTTGTTAATTACGTCTTCCAGCCAATTTTGCATCATACCAAAGGAAGTGGAGGGTTGTATCACCTTGTGTTGGGAGGCTTTTTATGGACACAAGTTTATATTACTCTTTAGCCTCCATGGTCTCTTATGCATTCCATTTATTTATTTTTTTACTATGAAATAATCATGTATGCCTATTCTTCCTTAGTCATTAAGTGCTTTGATGCAGAGGTTACAGGCTCCTCTAATATAGTTCTTGTATTCTTAGGCCAAATTGTATGATGAACATGTGTGGTGGTAAGATACCTGGCAGCAATGATGTAACACACCCACAATGTTCTTGGACAGGATGAACCTTCTATGATAATCCAAAGATAACAGCACTGGGATTACAGAAAGAGGATCTAAGTAAGAAGAGAAAATTGTCTCAGAGCTGATTCATCTAGATATTATACAACTAGACCCAAATACTATTATTTCTTTTAAGTTTGTTCTGAGGTGAAACCCAATTAATATGTAAACATTATGAGATATACTTTAAACTGTTTGACAGTATTATGCTATCAATTTATGAAGCTGGCTGCCTTCATAATTACTTGAAATATTTCCCTATCTAGCCTATCATCTCTTTATATAGCTTCCATTGCATAACAGATAGTGAGGCCAATATCCCAGTGTCTTTATTTAGAGGAAGAGTAGAATCTAATTACAGATTGAGAAAGAAGAGTGGATGCTAATACCATTATCATGAAAACAAAAGATGATCTGATGTCCCATAGACATGTTCGGTCCAGTATCACATGATCAACTCCCTTCTATAAGTCCATTTAATACACCAGATTGATTCATTGGTTTGTTCAGTCATTCAGATATTTATCACTCTATATCAGGTGATGGGGTTGATCCCTGGAATTCAGAGATGAATACATTTCATACATTAAAGCACTGAAAACACATGGAGACAAATAATAAACAGATACTCTTAATAATGTGGTAGTGCAATAATAAAGAACAGTGACAGGAATAGAAAAAATGGTAGCTGTTCTAACGCGACTTGGCTTAGTGGTGAGGAAGAAGAGATAGGGTCCTGTCCTTGATTTTGCAGTGTCTGGCCTCAAGTGTACAAAATTAATAGAAATTAACTAAGTGATTATAGGTACACGTTTTTCCTTTTTACCCAGGCTCACATATTTTTAACTCCAGATTTAGCTTGGGCCCTTCTGCCTTTTATGCACTCCCCCTGATTGTCACTGATTCTCAGGGCCTTAAAGCCATTTCTACATTAAATATTTCTAGTTAAGATGTGAGGGCAGGTTTTTTATTTTTTAAATGTCTATAGGGGGTTCAAGGGATTTTACAGTTGATCAAGGAAAAAGATGTACATCACAAGGTGGCAGTACTACACACAAAACCTGCTTCCCAGGTTCAAAAGGTGAAGTGGGTAAACATTAGATTTATTTCCCTGGTGGATTTTTTTAGCTAATCCTTCTAGCCTACAGGGAGGAAATAAATTACCCCAAGCCAGTACAGAGAGGCCATCTTGGATTAACTTCTTTGACAGCTTCAAGTCACTATAATCACATGTTTATATAACATCTTCATTGGGGTTTCACATAAATATGAGAATAACCTGATCAAGATAAAATGCCTAGTATTTCTTTAACTTTTTTTTTTTTTTGTCTCAGTAAGTGGAATTATCATGTACTATTTGAGCCAGAAATTTAAGAGGCATACATAGTTCCTTCTAACATAGTCCACTATCAAATTCTGTCATTTTAGTTCCTAAGTACTCCTCATTTCTAGTTCTCTGTACCACCACTGTCAATAGTCTAGTTTAAGCCACAAATATGTTTTTTGGGATTATTTTAATAATAATCCAAAGGTGATGATGCATCATAGCATTCTCGAAACAGTAATTGGGGTTAACTTTTGAAACAAATTTTGTCCTTCAGATGTTGCTTAAATGTCATTTCCTCAGAGAAGCTTCCTGTAATTGGCCTAACATGGTCCTCACCCTCCTCACTATCCATTCCTATTCTGTCTCAAGTGTTCCATTTATTTCTGGCAATGATCTCAGTTCATAATTGAGATTTTGTGTGTTTTGTTTATTGCTTCAAAGTCTCTCTAGATACCAGGTTTCATTAAAATAGAGACTTTGTCTTGTTCATTACCTTTAAAATCTAATTTCTTGTGTAGTTCTTGGGATATAATAGGAAGCTATAATAAAATACTTGTTAAATAAAACTTATACATACCTTCATAAAGAACAGATAAGCTGGGAGGGTTCAGTCAGGTGGGGAATGTTTTCCTCTCACTTTTTTAAGAGATGTCATTGTATTTTGTTATGTGGCTATACAATATGGGAAACTTAATAGTGCCTTTCTTGATGAGGAAAAGAATTCCAAATACCATGGGAATATGAATAGTTTTTGAAAGAACAAGTTTGAAAATTAAAGTTAGATCAGCTGTGATTGCTTAGCAAGGATGGGGAGTTTAAACAGTAGATTGTAATCAGCTGTTTCACAAGTTTTTAGATGAAAGAAAATGAAATAAAAGTAATCACCATTAAGTGTTTTAAAGGTAAGTATAGAAAGTCCTTATCAGGACTAAGAATGAAGAAAAACTAATTTTCAAAAGGACATAACAAAATCTTAGAACCCTACTTCCTACCTTGCCATTTTACATGTCAATGTGTCTTTGGCTAAACTTCTTATATGTGTATCACTTCTGTTTTTCTCTCCTTGCTCAGTCTTAATGGAATAGTAGGTATCATTACATCCTTTATTAGAACTGGAGAGTGGCAAAAGTAATGATTGGAAAATGAGAATATGATTAGTGAACATCTATTGTTCACTATAAATGAAATTTATTGTTTACTATAAGTGCAACACAAGTACGTGTATTAACTTATTTGCTAGTAAATCCTGAGTTAGGTATCATTTCCATTTTATAACCAGGGAAAAAGAAACAAAGCAAGATGACCTACCTTGCTTACTACCTCACAGCTGGAAAACAGCAGAGCCAGGATTTGGAACTGGGCAGCCTGACTCACCATCCTCTACATTCCTGTATTTAGATCCCACTCTTTCATTTTATCATCTCAACTTTTATTTCTGAGCGAGGCATGCATATGTTATAGATACATTCTAAAGATATCAGGTTTGTGCTCTAGAGAAGAGAAAAGAAAGAAGGTTGCTACAATAAAGGTAGGAATGAACACTTAATTTTTTGTTACACTGGTAGCAATCATTAACTGTTCCCTAATTTTTTTTTTTATTAATGGGTAATACCAACGCTGGCAAACAGAGACTCTTTTCATCTTTCACTTTCCCCTCTCCAGAGGCAAAATCAACCAAGAAGTCTGACTGAGACCCTCTCCCTAGGATGAGACAGATTACAAATTTAAGAAGTTCTGGTAGCGAGAAAACCACTGACTCCCTTTTCTACGCTTGTTAATTCTCTCCTCTTTACGCTTTTTGATCAAACTTAAGATCTGGCATGACTAAGAGTGAAAAGAATTCTTTGCTCTTATAGATTCATTCATTCAACAAACACATATATGTATATCTGCTATGTGTCAGGTTCTGTGTTAGGCTTGGGTGTTAAGTGATGAATCAAGTCATGGTGAAGAAAATCTGTGGAGAAAAAAAAGTGAGAAAGTATATACTAATTTATAATGGAGTATACCTGAAGCTTATATAATGTTCTAATGTTACTTCAATACAAAAATAATAAAAATTTTAAATATTCCTGAGGGGGAAAACAAAACATAAAAAGCACTTTGCACATATAGGTTCTTTTGGCATACATTATATATATACAGTATATGCTTTATATCTATCAGATATCTTACAAATTTGTATAAATCTAAATTTACTTTAAGTATTTGATATATGTATATAACTACAAAGTATCCTGAGTTGCTATGAAAGTAATTAACAAGTGCAGTGGCCAGGATCGAGTTAGCAGTAGTGGGAATTACCAGAAAAGTGAAAGGGAGTCCCTGATAGGAGTTCAGATGAGAGATATTCCTGACTTCAAAGAAAGAAGAGAAGGGTCTCAGAGTCCCTGTACTCTGAACCTGTGGTCTAGAATAAAGAAATAACATGGGGAGGCCCCTGGTGTGGTGACTGAGTATTCTATATCTAGCCATAGAGCCAGTACTCCAATGTGTTTTTGGATAGGATCTAAAAATACTACACACTGGTTGTGCAAGGGGTGAAATTTCATCACTATCAAGCTATCTGCAGCCACTACAGCAGAAGTTCTATCCCCAGCCAGGGAGTTGACACACATGGCACAGCAGACCTCTTCTGTCTTGCTTGCTGCTCCCCTCAGCAGTGCATTTCAGTACATTTGCCTGCCTGTTCTGCTCGCCCCCCTGTCTCTGGTGAATCCTCTCACCACCCTGCCCCTCCCTGATGCCTCTGGCCTACACCCCAGCTCTTGTATGCATAATGAAATAAATATTAAAAAAATAAAAATACTACACAGATATTGATGGAATCTAGAAGACACTTACTTTACAAGCCCATGTTCTGCACATGCTGTGCAGAGATTTAAAAGAAAAAGTACCTCTGACCGCAAAGCACTGAGTCTAATTGGGTAGAATAAACAGATGCAAGAGAAATGACACCAGAGGCAATGGACCAAAATGTGCAAAGAGAGCCATTATAAATGGAAGAAACAGAGCATGGTTGAGCTCATCCTTTTCAAAGGAAATGAGTTAGAGACATGGCATTTACTTAATTGATGGCAGTCAATGGGAATATATTTAGATGGACACTGAAAATGAGGGCTTATATTTAGGAAGACAAGCATAGACAGAAAATGCAACTGCTACTGAAGGAGAGCATAAACAAGGCAGATATTTTAGAAAACTTGCTCTATAGTTGTTAAAATGCTACAAGAGAAATGGTATCATTATCATAATCAATTCTCCTATATGTGAAGCCACAAACACCAGACATTTTGTGAAGTAAGTTATTCCTAGTACAAAAAACCACACTAAACAAAAACACATTTCTAAGATTCTAATGGTAATTTTTGTCCAGCATAAAATCATTCAGTGTTGATCATAAACAGCTCACCAATACATTTTGAGTGATTCCTAAGTGCCCTGGAAGTTACAGAATACTGGGACAGCAAAGATGAAACACAATTCTTTCATTATGGAGCTATTTGGACTCCAGATAGAGAGACATAAATTTATTTCATATAATGCAATACAGGTCATAAACAGGGACAAACAAGCTCACCCAGACAATGGACAGAAAAATTCAGAGCTCACACTTTGGAAAGATGGTTATTTGATTGAGAATTTATACCCAACAAAATTAAATAAAAGAAAAAGTATCTCAGGAAGGGGGTAGTAGCCTGAACAATGAATATATTTGACTGTTGGAGAAAATCTGAAAACTTTAGAAAAATGTTATTTTTCAAAATATAGCATTAGTGTATGTTTTAATGTTCAAAGTTTAAAATAAGTTTACTAAGTGTGTCTCAGACATACAACTCTAGTTGATACTTTTGGATGAAGGGTATATTTATAGAACTAATTTAAACCCCTTCAAAACATTGGAAGAGAGGGAGTAGTTTTATGTTCTATTTCCTTTCTTGGAAAGGAAGTCGGGGGATAGTGTTAGCCTGTTAACAGCTCACATATCCATATCCCAATCCTGCCACTCACCTATGTGGAAATAATCTGGAGATTCTGTCATCCTTTCTGACATTTGAGGAAGGCTGGTGCTAACATTTGAGAAAAACACCATCAGTAAGTGAATTTGTGGGGGTGGCCTAAAGAGGGGGGCAAGGCAGAGCAAAATCAATAGAAAGTGAGTCTTGTCACTCTCAATGCTAGCGAAAGCAAGGGAAAATGCTTTGTCTCTGCTTCCCTCTCAGACACAGGGTACATGGCAGGCCCACGGTCAGACCATCATTAAACTAAAGAGACAGTTTAGAGGGAAAAGGGATTCCACAGGCTCAGGTTCCTGAAAGGTCTTTTTTTTTTTTTTAACTTTATAATAGTTTATTTTTACATCATTTTGTGCCTTTTTGCAACTGCACTAAGAATTAGGTGCTACTTGCCTAAGAATTTAGTTGAGCAGGTGTCTTGTGTTAGATTTCCGATCCATCAGGGTAATCAAGGAAAATAGGATTTGCTTGGAATATTCAAATAGGACTCTAATGCAGCGAGTTGATCAAGTCATGAAACAGGTTGTGAAAGACTCAGAAGTGATCCAAGAAAAGTGAACAACCCAGAGTCAGCCACAGAAGTAATTCCAGGCTGGACACAGGGGATGAGGAAATACAACTGTAACACAGGAGCCCCAAGTGAGAACTGCAACCATAGAGGGTGTCAGTGACGAGAATGGCAGTGATGAGGCAGAGACAGAGCTGCTGCTGCTTGAGAAGAGGTAGGAGGCAAACTGTCAGGAGACATACCCTGCCTCCTGATTCTCACACTCCTGTCTCCTGCCCCTGTCTCCACACCCAAGCCCGCACTGGCAGACGCACAGATTTTCCCCTTCTTGTTCCCTCCCTCTTGATGGAGCAAGGAGGACAAGGGCTGGATCCAAGGGCAAACCTACCTAAGATCAGATTAGAAGAGTAACTTATTGAAATCACAGGCTTTTCTTGTTTGGGTAGAAGGCCATGGTGAAATAGGAACATTTGCATATGCAACCAGAAAAGTTGTTTCAATCTGGCTAGTAATACTCATCGGAAACAAGAAACTAATTTTTTTTTCTCTAAAAGAAATTGCATTTTAATGCCCTACTTTGTAAAATTTAGCTTACATGTAAGCTTTTGTTTGTTGTGCTAGAGCATTCTACAAACCAGAAAATCCTTGAATTATCAAACAAAAGCTTATTTGCCTAAATTACCATGCTGGCCTGACACTGAGATGTGGGGGTTTGTTTTGAGTTTTTTGTACATTTTGTGACCTGCAGTATTTTGATAAATGCCATTGCCTAAAACTATTCAGTGGGAGGTTTGGGCACCATCTGTGTTTGTTTCTGTAGGAGCAGTAACTGCCTAGAGAAAAATCTGATGCTCATTTCAAAGATGCAGTATAAACAAAATCCAAGATGATGCCTTAACATAATTATTCCACCTTTCATTTACACAGTGCTTTATGCATTTCAAAGTGATTTGATGTGCTTTCATTTAACAGATTTCACCAAACTTGTAGAACTTGGATATAGGCTTCTAAAAAAATATAAAAACTCAACAAAGAAAATAATACTGACATTAGGCAGTCTTTTAGGAGGCTATAAAAAACCATATAGCTTATCTGTGTTGCTCACAGAAAATACTTATTGATCACTAGCTCTGTGTATGACATGTTCTAAAGTGCATCACATATTTTAACTCACTTATTTAATCATCAGAATAATCCAAAGAAGTAGGCATTATATGTTATATTCAGGATAGGGATACTAAGGCATAGAGCTATTAACTGACAGCTGATAAGAAAGAATCTGAGCCTTGGCAGTCTAAGAGAATACGATCTTAAGTGTGTCTTCCTTAAGTATGTACTTTGCAAGCAACTTATTTCATCAGACATTTGTATTGGGGTTCTCGTAAAATATTCACATAACTCAGTGTGTTGGCAAGCCAATTCACTGACATTCTAAAAAGAGATAGCCCTGATCTGTAACATGCTTGCAGGGCAAATAGAATTAATCAAGCTTTTTATGCCACTAGCCTCTATGGCTGTCACTAGTGGCCTTGACTGTGTTCATTCAGAAGGCGTTTGGGAGCGTGGGTTGGGGGGACAGGCATGTCTGATTGTGGACCCATGGAGTGTGAGTGTGGGCACGTGTAAGTGTGCACACCTGAGCCTAAAGGCCAGGGACATAAGGATGGCCATGAGAAGACATTTGACTACAGAGGAGGTAAGACCACAAGAGAATGCCAGAGAAAGAATAAACATTCATGGCAGGGCTGGGAAGCTTGGTTGTCTGCTTGCCTCCTAGACACCCCACACCAGCTCCCTGTCTTGCCAGTCTGTGGGCTTGCCACAACAGTACAGTAGTCTGAATGGCTGTGTCACCCTTCCTACTTGCCCCCATCTCTATTCACATATTCATATCCTAATGTCTAACATGATGGTGTTAGAAGGTGGGGCCTTCAGGAGCTAATAGGATCATAAAGGTAGTTCCCTCTTAGATGGAATTGATGTTATAAACGAGGTCCCACAAAGCGCTCTGGCCACTTAAACCATGTGAAGACACAGAAGGGTGCATCCCACCTGTCACCAGGCACATGTCTGATCTTGGACTTTTAGACCCCACAACTGTGAGGAATACATTCTGTGGCATTTCTCAAAGCTATAGCCACTCACCCAGTCTGTGGCATTTTCTCAAAGCTATAGTGACTGCCAGTATAATAGTCCCACAAGGATTCCCTTCAAGTGACCAAAGTAACATAACCAAGGCTTATGTGAGAAGAGATACATGTAAACAAATTACTGAGTCTGTGGCCCCAGCACACACTGGCTGATTACTGCCAGTCATGACATGGATGCCACAGAAGTGATGACCCATTCCCAAAATATTCTCCAAACACTAATTCATTGTTTTCAGCTGTTTTATCCAACTCAATCTGAATTAAACTGTCTTCATGGATGGAGCTGGAAGGTATTATATGCAGTGAAAGAAGTCAGAAGGAAAACAAAACATATCAAATGGTTTCAGTTATAGGAGGAATTTAAGAGAACCAAATAAGAAAGAGGTTAAAAAAGTGTATTGTTATTATAATACAAAACACAACTAAACAAAAACAAACAATTATAGAACAGCAAGATCCTACAGGGGAGGGAGACAGAAAGGGATCAGAAGGAGGGAGGAATATGGGGGGCTATGGGGATGACAGGTGGGGGAGAGGGGAGTAAACATTGTTGTAAAGTGAATCATAATGTAAATAGATAACTAAAAAATAAAATTCATCTTTTAAAAAAACTGTCTTAGAGTCATGTTTTATCAGTACTTATAAAGAATTTTGTAGTGATGTTTATTTTTGATCTATTTGTCACTGATGATAATCAGGCTTGTCTGGAGTGAGGCAATCACAAAGCAACTGTGTTCTACAAAAAAGGATTAGAAAGTACGTGGGGAAGCTTGTGAAGTGTTGCTCCTCTCCAGGCACAGGTTTGGTGACTTTGCTTGTTTTTCTCTCTGGAGAGGCTGCTCGGAGGGTTTTACTGCTCATCTGGGCATGTGCATGGACACAGAACTCCCTGCTGTTAAGACTTGCAACTTCTTTGCCTTTTCTACTTTTCATTCAGTCTTTATTGGGAAAGAATTATTATTACTATTGTTTTTGCCTAAGAGCTTATAAACCAATGATTGTGGAGAGTTTTTACCAACTCATTGGTTCTGGATAAAGAAACAAACTAACAAAAACTTTTACAGGTATGATAACTGATCCTTCAAATGGAAGTCACTGAGATCTACCCATAAACAAAGTGGCATACATAAACCTAAAGTTCAAATGTTTCAACAGACAAATATACCATAGACTTTGGGTGATCCAGATACCAATACCTAAGCTAAAGATCTAAGATTGCAAATGTGATTAAAACAGAGTCCTGCTCTTTGGCAGTTTATAGTCTAAATTGCATTTAATCAATATGTTCATATTTCTTTATTACAGATATTAATGCAATCTATAATATACAAGCTTTCATGTGAGACTTTAAATTTAAGTCACATGTAGCAACATCTAAGATGTGGTAGAAGATATCTAACATTTATTACTACAGGTTTTATTATTTTTTCCAAACCAATTAGGGACCTGAAATGCAGGAAAAAAAAAACTTTAAAGGCAAAATTTAATTTTTAACTGAAAATCAAAAGGAAAGAAAAAGTTGTTTGACCTACCTTCCATCCATATTTGATCTTTCACTTGAATCTTATATTTTCTATGAAGTCATCTCTTTCAATTCTAGCTCAAACTAAGCTCTTCTTTTTTAATCTGCACAATTAACTTGTTAATACGCTCCATTATTTTTTAATCCAGTGGTTGTTATTCATAGTGCACTTCACCTGTGGGATTTAAAAATACACTTTCCCAGGCTCCATGCTCAGACACCCATCTAGTCAGTACCATCAAGTATGGCCCTGGCATCTGCAGTTTTAGAACACATCATGCATAAGGGACTCCCAGCTAAAAGTCACTGTTCAAATGACACTACACAATTTCACATAATCCACATGTGTACACATTGTATTCTTGTACCCCAAGTGAATTGTAATCATGTTGTATATAGTCACAGTTATCTGTCAGTTAGTATAGTCACTTTGTTCTCTGCAACACACAGAACTTACTTTGCACCAGTAAGTATTTTCATACTGCTTATTTGAAAAAAATGACCAGGGATTTGCCTTCCATAGCTTCTATATAATGCCATCATATCTATTTCTATTCATAATTTTCATACAGTGGTAGAGTAGATTTTATTATAAGCAAATTTCCTTTACTTATATTAATATTGCTTTTCAGAAAGCTTCTAAATTAGGAACTCCCTAAAGAATTTCAGAAAAACATGTTTTTTTTCTGGTACAGTGGAATTTAACTTACAGTAGTTCAAATTCAAATTATCTTCTTTTTTTTGCCTATGGTGAGGAAAAAAACAAAAGAGAAGTTTATAAAATGTATGCTTTTAGGAAACATTTGACTGTATAAACGATAACATGAACATAAGATATTGGGGAACTCTGTTGGCTCTTAAAAATTTCCCTCAGCATTCAGGTCTGGTGCTTTATATTCTGATATAGTTACTCCCAGAAACATACAATATAGTGATAGACTGTCAGGATTAGAGAGATCTCCTGAGAAGATTTGATTTCCCCAATCTTCATTTTTTGAAGCCTACGATCAATTTAGGGCTAATAGCTAACGTAAATCATGCACATTGGTGGGGCTCACAAAAGTTTTAGGGGTCAGTTAGACAACACAAGGAAGCCCCAAGTATAGGGATGGTATAAACTTGTCACTTACCAAATCATTATTACTATCACTGACATAGTAACAGTAATATCCCAAACTGCAACCCAGCTGGCTTTTACTTCAGTTCAGTGTTTTCTTCCTGACTTTAAAATATAGATTTTTTTTAAATAAAAAATTGTTATAGTGACTAGGAAGAATAACAAAATAGAATTAGTGAACAACTTTGAATTCATTAAATAAAAGCAAGTCTTTCATATTGATCTAAGAACAGGAAGAAAGTTTATCATCTTCTCGCATATATTAGGGAGTCAGACCTTTGTCTGAATCCAGGTTTGTTCACAATATGTCACCACTCTAGTCTTTGTTTCTTTAACTATAAAATAAGGCAATAAAATACCTCCTCATTGGATTATTGTGAAGTATTCATTATAACATAAAAGAATTTCAAAGTCTTTGACATCTAGCAGTCTTCTAATAAAAGGTATTTTATTATTAATAACATTTCATTATCATTTTTAGGTAAGCTTCCTATAATTTCTTGTCCATACTGGGACACATCTGAGAGTGAAAGACGGAGCTACTATTACCCTGGGACAACAGGCATAAACCAGGATGCAGAGTCACAATATTTTCTTGATAAAAGCCAATTCCTGAGGGAGTGTTATATTTTGCAGGGCAACTGAAGTGGAATTCTTTGGAAAGATGTTCAGTATGGGTCAGATTCAAGGTGGGAGGAAAAGCCTTCTTCCATTTCTCCTGAGACAAAATGGAGGACGTGTATTGTTTTTACAATATGTACAAATTAGTCTAAGTCTTTCCTAGTGTCCCCTGAAGACCTGGGCCTGGGAAATGCATTTTCATGTAATTTTTAAAAAATACTTTCAAAAGAAATTTTCTGAAATCACACATGCATTTCCCTGTTTCATTAAAGAAGCATACATTGTAACTTGCACTCTCTAAGTTCTTTAAAAATAAGTGTACAAGACAGAAACAGAAACTTCTCTTTTGAATGTTTGATACATTTGATTATGGCTATACTGCTACCACCCTTCCAGCCATACTGTGCTCTGTTCCACTCCGATCCATCCACCCTATGTCATTCTACAAACATGTATGGCAAGACTATAATATACTGGCGTTCTTGCTGGTAAAACTGAATTAGGACAAGAAAAGAGATGTTGCTGGGAAAGATGATGACAGTAACTCTTTAGACAAAGGCTATCTAAACAGCCATTATGTTTGGCAGATGACATTTCCTTCCTCAGGAAACTTTGCCCCGCCCCCTTTTCCCTGTATAAGAAACACTGTGAATATTCAACATATTCTTTCAAAAATATACTTCCTCATTAACTGATTTTTGTTTGGGTTTGACTTTGTAATATAGAAATTAGTAATATCAAGTTCTGGTGATGTAAGGCACATAAGAATCATGAGCATATGAGAATCAACCCATTACTGCCACACAATGGACTATTGGGGTACTAAGGGGTGAGGTGGTGGTGAATGCAATAGGTGACAATACCTAATGGGGGTGTACAAATATTATCTCAGTTAAAAATAACAAAAAAATAGGGCTCTCCCTGGTGGTGCAGCGGATTAAAGCACAGCACTGAGAATCTAAAGCTGCTTCCGCATGAGTTCGATTCCCCCCTGCCTCGGAGGTGATCACACGGACCTCTCCTGGCCTGCCCGCTGCTCCCCTCAGCAGTTGTACTTAGTTGATCTGCCTGTTTTGTTCCCCACTGTCTCTGGTGAAGCCTCTCACCACCCCTGAGCCTCTGGCCTGTACCCCAGTTCTGTATGCACAAATAAATCAATCTTTTAAAAAAAAATAACAAAAGTATGGAACAAATCCAAAAGTTTCTCACATGTCTGGCAATAGTTTAATGTCCCACTTAGCACCTATCAACAGCAAAGGCCTGCTTTATCATTTAAACATTTTTTTGGGGATCTCATTATTAAGTGTTCTATAGCTATAAGTAGAGTGCATAAATGAAATTACAAATTGATGATGAGACTCACCTCTACTGTTAAAAATACTGAACTTCCAAACAGGCAGTGGCAGATTCCAACTTTTGGTTTTCCTATCTTACATCTTCACCTATAGTCCCAGATGAGCAGAAAAACTTTATAGCATCATGAAATCACACAAATAAGTATCTATACAGCATTCCCATTTGGGATATTAATTTGACTCAGGGCAAAATCTGATAACACTAGCAATTGTCAAACATACTTAAAACAAAATAAATCATCCCTCCAACCTCTCGTACTTATATGCTTTTTATATTTGGTGTTTTAGAAAAACAATTTAACTTTAGCAGCATTCTAGTTATGGACAGTGTCTCTGAGGAAGTTTTTTATGAGATTGACTGCAGATAATGACAGCCATTAGTAACTGATATTAACATATAGATTGAGGCACACAACAATATTTATAAGCACCTAAGCATAGTAGTGAAAAGACAACTTACTATAGCTTGGGCAGGCTTCTGACTACACCTGACTGCTATTCTATAAAGTGAAAGTGGTCTAAGTCTGGTAGTAATATATTTAATGACAAGTTCATTATAAGACTAATTGTTTTCTACCACAAAGTATGAAGTATGAAGCTTTATGTCTTCTATCAACCAAAGACAGTCATACTGCTTAATGGCTGTTCAATTAATGTTTCTGTGCTACACTTTTACACTTTGAAATATTTGATAAATGAACTCTAAAAGCTGTTTAATAGTAAGTTCAATGGAAACTCCACTATTATTAAACATTTCTAAGAACTTACAGTGGGTCAAACTATCAGCTACATACTATACAACATATATTGATATCAAAACACTATTTTCCTGTAAGAATGACAGAAAAAATCAATGGTTTAGAAAAAAAATAAACTATGTATCTTGAGTTGAAGATAAAAATAGTTTTAAAATATAAATGATCTGGTCAGAAATTCAAAGGTAAGATTTGCATTAGTACAACAGAAATTCTCAGTTTTTTTTTGTTTTTAAATTATGTTCTTAACCTGTAAATTTATGTTCTTAACCTTAAAATTTCTAATTTCTAAGACTAGTTGATTGAATATTAATTCAATACCCTTCTTTTGGTAGATGTTTTGTGATATTTCTCAAGATGTATTTTTACTGAAAGACTGTCATTTTTGAACTTTTAAGAAAAATTATTTGTTTTTTTGTAGTTATTAGGGTGTTCATTAATTTTTGATTTTCATTCCGATACTATATTCATTTCCTGCTTTTTTCCTAACCAAGAGTGCTGATATATCCATAGGAGCCCAATTAATTAATATTATCTTTTATTGTTTCAAGTAAGTTGGGTACCATTAGACACAGAACAAGAAAAAAAATAAACAAATACCGAAGAAATGAGAAATCTAACACATTTCCTTTGGGAAATTTAGTAGCCTTTCATACATGCCTGGGTCCTGCACATACATTGTGTACATTTAAAAGAACTGTGGCTGTCTCCATTCCTTAACATAAAACAGGTGGTTCATAAACAGGGACAAATGAGAAAGCAAGTTAAAGAAAAGTTTAATGTTTTTGACAACTTCCCACTAAGGACACAATTGAGAATGACAAACTTAATACCTGGTTGTTTTACATTAAAGCTAACTGATTTTCAGCCCTTCCTGGGGCACAGTGGGTTAGGACAGAGCACTGCAAGTGAGTCTCAGCCACATCAGTGAGACTTCAATCCCCAATACAGATGTGACCCACATGGCATGGCAGACCTCTCCTGACCTGCCCGCTGCTCCCCTCAGCAGTGTCCCTAATCGATCTGCCTGTTCAGCTCTCCACTCTGCCTCTGGTGAACTTTCTTACTACCCCTGCACCTCTGGCTTGTTCCCCAGTTCTGTATGCATACGTAAATAAATCTTTAAAAAAAAAAGCTAACTGCTTTTCATTATAAGACACTAAGCGTTTCATTTTAAAAACTTATTTTTCTCTTAAATACTGTATCAGTAGAATGTATACAGTTGAATGATTTGTATTTGATTAGTTTAACACTAGAGTTTTATTATTTGTCATAGATAAAGTTGGCTCCTTAAAATTACAGAACAGTAAGGCATATTTTAGTAGAGCAACTGACTTTTTTTTTTAAATTTATTATTCATACAGAACTGGGGTACAGGCCAGAGGCTCAGGGGCGATGAGAGGCTTCACGAGAGACAGCAGGGAACAGAACAGGCAGATCGATGAAGTACACTGCTGAGGGGAGCAGCGGACGGGTCAGGAGAGGTCTGCCACGCCATGTGGTCACCTCCGGGGCAGGCGGGAATCGAACTCATGTGGAAGTGGCTTTAGCTTCTCAGTGCTGTGCTTTAACCCACTGCGCCACCAGGGAGTGCCATGACTTACTTTTTTATAATAATTTTTAAGTATACTTAAAAAAATTAAAACCAAATTTATTGTAAGTATCATTTAGATACTAATTAATAGACAAATCTGTATATAGTATATTTCTGACCCCACCAAACAGGTAACACATGACATAAAATTTTGATTGTGTTGGGTAGAGATATGGTAGACAAACTGATTATGAATAATAAAAGAAATGCTCAATATTTTTGTCAATTAAAAATTAATACAGCATGGTTTCCCAGCTATTTCATAGTTTATTTTCATAGTAAAAAGTTAGTGGAAAATATTTTAGGAAATACAATATTGGGAATAAGCTTAGGATAGTAAAATATTACTATGAGATATACTAATTGGTAAAAATTCTAACAGAAATATGAAATGCACTGAAGAATTTTGTTGAATATTTTTAATAAAGATAATTTACTACATAATTTAAACATTTATAATAAAGATATGTTGTAAAGTGTGAGAGATGGCATTATTTTATAAGCAATGCTTACTTTTTCCATAAATGAAAAGTGGAAAAGAGAATTGGTAGCTTATTAATTTTGGGAAATGTAGTATTTTAGCAAATACTTATTTTTAAACTTTACTGTTTCCTAAATATGAAAGAACTAAATTTAAAAAGCTGCCTAGTTACAATATAAACTTAAAAAGCAGTTGCATTTTTATATACAACTGAAAAAGAATGAACAAGAAAAAATAATTATGAAAATAATTCCATTTACAATTATATCAGAAAGGTAAAATACCTTGGAATTAATGTAAGCAAGGAGGTGAAGGACCTATAAAATAACAACAAAAAAGACATTACTAAAGACTATAGATGCTGATGTAGGGAAAAGACATTTGAGCTCATGTATAGGGACAATCAATATAGTCAAAATGACTATTCTAGCAAAAGAGATATAAATTTAA